TATAAATAATAAAAACTAAAAACTAATTATAATATGTTTTTCAACTATATTTAGAATAAATTGAATCATAGGTAATTTAGCATACATGGATTAATATTCCAATGAAAATAAATATATAGATTAATATTTATTTGCCTTATTTCCATTTATTATGAGATTGTCTTGTCTATGAAAAAGAAACTTAACAAAGAAAACAATTTTTGATGAATTTATATTTTAATAAACGTATACAATAATTCTTTGATAAATTTATAAACATTCGATTTAGCCTTGATAACTTCTGAATATACCTAAATTTAATAAATTATTCTTTGTTTATGAAATAGTGATAAAAAGACTCAACAATAAGAAGAAAAACTGCATCTTCTTGAAAATTTGGTTTTAACAATCAATTAAAAATTAATGAATGAAGAAGAAACCTTAAAAAATATTTGACGGCTTATCCATTCTAGATTTGGAAAAATGAAAAATGTATTTTCCAAATTAGTAAGGATGAGAAATTTTTCATTCTTACTTATCTTAAGCAAAAAATAAAATTTTAGAATTGAAAACTACTGAAGAATCAATTATACAAATTTACAATATATATAATTGTTAATAAATTAAACATTTCATGAAGATGTTTATTTAAAATGAAATTTTTTTTACTACTAAAATTAAAAATATAAAATTAACACAATTGTTAATTTACAATTTCGCTCTGAGTGCATAAATATATGCTTTAGATTTTAAAGATTGCCTTAATAGGTTGACAATCCATATTTAAACAAATTATAAATCAGTAATAGTAGTTTGTTAAATTTCGTACCCTGTTTATCAAAAATGTAAACTAGCAATTTTACAGTAAAAAATATATAATGAAAGCTTTATTAAATCTTTTATTTGAATTCATTATATATTCTCTAATCTTACTACCTATAAAATATTCAAGTCAGTTGCTTTCCAATCATAAATATTATTATTTAAAATATGCTCGTAAATTTATTTTTTTTATTCTTGACTCTTGTTTTTAAGATAGATTTTATTTTATTATATTAAGCTATCTTAAAGAGATTTATCTTTCTCATTTACACATTATGAAAACGATCAGATTATTTCAAGAAGATGCATTAAATTTTAATTTATGCCCCAAAAAAAGTATTGAAAGCTTAGTTTAATGCCAATTAATCAATGAAAGAATTAAAATACTATAGTACTTTCTTTATTCTTCTATAACGAAATATAATTCAATCAATATTTCTTAAGTAAGAATATTTTATTACTATTTTGTATATAGAAAATAGTTTTACAAACATACATAGGAAGGAAAAGTTAATAATTTTTCATATTGTTTTTTTTTTAAAAGCTCATTAGTATTTTTGCTGTTTCTAGAAAATAGGTTATTTTCATTGTTATTGAGGAACTTCAAACTTTTGATTCTATCGGAGTGATTAAATCTAGAATTAATATGTTTTAAACTTCTATTTCTAGCTACCCTCTTATTTTCTTCCTTTCAACTAGTATTAAAAGTTATATAATTTTTTTTATATTAATTTTTTTCTGTTTAATGCCTATTCATTAATTCTTTTAAAAAATTTTATGGATGATTTTCTCCCATAAGACTAATTAGAATTTTTAGAATGCAGAAAATACACTCTAAACATTTTACTTTAATTCATCCTAGACTAATCCTAACACAGCGTCTTCAACTTAAAACTTAATAAATATTTGATTCTATGTATTAGATTTTGTTACATTTCTTTAACGAAATTCCGATTTTCATTTTGTTTCAATATATATTTTTTTTGATTAATAAATATAATTTTAGACTTGAAATGGATTAAACTAAGCCAACATAACATTTTACTAAGGTATTTCTATTTTATATTAATCTGTCTTTATTATTATTATAATAGGATAATTTTATGCAGTTTATGATATTTTTAGAATCAGTAAGTAAGAAGCCAACTTGGCTGTGGGAAGTTGAGAATCAATATATTATGCTTTGTCTTTGAAATAAATATACCTACCAAATTTTAACTCTAATGTAATTACTTCCTTTATTAGGCGCTTTAGATAATTCCAACAAGATAAAAATTTTAATTCACCCAATAATTAATTGTATTTTTCAATTCAAAAAAACATATTACAGTTTATCGGTATTAATTAATATCAAAAATACAAAACACAAAATATTATTTAATAAAATAAAATGATATATTATATTTTATTCAACTTATGGATAGATCCTCTTATACAATCATTAATTTGTGAAATTACAAAAAAAATTCGATATATTGTAAAATGACAGTAAAAAAAAATTTTAATTACTTAATTCAGCTCCTAGTTGATTCAATTTTAGTTTTGATAGTAATATGTTATAGGAGATCTATAGAAACTTTCAGAATTATTTAAATGACAGAAAGATTTAAACCATTATTTGAAAAGTTAAGTAACACTCTTAAATTTTAAATCTATTTCATTCAAATTCTAGTTCTCTTTTTTTTATTAAAAATGGGATTTATTAGTAATAATTAAGAAGAACCATGTGCTAAAATAATTCTTCCCTTTTAAAAGAATACGTTTTATCAAATATACATTTGGAATATTGATTTAAATTACAAAATAATTTGTAAGTAATATATAAGTACAATTAAAGAATTAAAAAATAATAAATTCCTTATAGATAATATATTGAAATATTCTATTAAATAATAAATCACAATTTTATGAATAATATTCAATATTTATAATTATTATATTTCCATTACTACTTTAATCTAAATCTTCTTCTAAGAAAATATAAAATAATTAAAGCAGAAACTAGTCCCGATAATATCCAAATGGTATATTAATTTATATTTAATTGTTATGT